GGGGGGGGTGGGGGGCGGTCCGGCAGTAGGTCTCTTCCCCTAACAGTGTAGATTCACCAGTTCCGCCGAAAAAGTATCAGCCGACAACCAGCGATGGTTCTGGTGCCGTTCGCGGGTCGCTCCTCTTGGAGAGCATCACCGTGTTCTCAGGGTAAAATCGTTAAAGCTTTATCAGGCCGCCCTACGGCCACGGGATCTCTTTCTGGTGGCCTGTTTTTCTGTCCTCCTTAAGGAAATGTGAGTGTTAACTTTTTTCGGTACCTGTGGAATAGCGTTTCCTCTGCAAAGGTGAGTTTGACTTGTCGTGGTTTTACTGTCCCCGGAGAGGAAGCAGCACAGTCAGCGCAACACAAGGTGGTGTTCGCTTCCTTCCTTGTTTAGTGGGACGAACAGAAGTTACCCTGTTAAGCACTACTGTGGTTTAATTCATATTTATTCTAAAACTGGCCTCTTATTTTGCGTCAGCTAAGAGTAGTGTGTGCTACTGGTTGTTGGGCACTTAGTTGGCCTTAAGCTTCCGACAGCTCTGCTGTTTTCTGGCTAATGGCAGGCACGCTCAGACCGGGGAACAGTAGACTAGTACATCGCGAACTGGCCAAAGAGCCTCAGTTTTTCTGATAATTACCTGACTCTGTTAAGTAGAAACTCATGGAAAAATGAGTTTTACTTAAATGCGAGAGATGCTCACATACTTTTAACAGCCAAGCTTGTTTTCTAGATATTCATCGTAATAGTTGATATAGCTGTACTCAGAATCAGAGCCTATAAAGAATGACTGGCTGACTTATGTTTAAAGTTAGGTTGAAAAGAAAAAAATGTGACCTCATAGGTATTTTTTCCTGTGAATTGTAAGGATTTCAAATATCTCTAATGCTTTAACTTTTTTTTTTTGCAGATAATAAACTTATGGAAGTGTTGTTGTGGAGCTAGAATGGGAGTGAAAAGAGTTTTAATTGTTTAGTTCCAATTATGTATTTTGAATATAGAAGCATGGGGTTATTCTGGACCCTGTTTTTGAAATTTTAGGCATTCAGCTGGTCATAAGAAACAGGAGTTAACGTTTGTTTACTTAGTTGTTTGCTTTTATTTCAGTCAGTATTTCCTCTTTTCTAACAGTAACAACTAATTAAAAGGTTGAAGTTCAAAATGGCTTGTTCTTGTTTTGTTTTAGCTTTTTCCTACAAGTTACTTCAAATTAGTCTGTGAATTTTAAAAAATATTTTGACTGTAACCTATCACTTGGAATCTCTAGCTTTTCTTTTGATTGTCCAACAGTCCAGCTTGAACTAGGACTGCAAGAGTGCAATATGCTTATGCAATTAAAATATTCTTTATTTAGCACTACGAGTATAAAAGTTCATTTTCTATCTCTTCTGGTAATCTAAGAGTTTTACAACTATTCATATGGTGCTTATTTTTAACACTTTGACATTTTCACCAGGTTTAACTTTATTATATCATACAAGTTCCTCACTGCCATAATGAGGCTAGTAATTCTTGAAGATTATGATCAGGCTAGTGAATGGGCAGCAAAATACATCTGTAATCGTATTATCCAATTCAAGCCAAGTCAAGGAAGATATTTCACGCTTGGTCTACCAACAGGCAAGTTTTATTCAAAGCTTATGTAAATGACTAAACCTGGAACTAGTTTGTATCATTGCTAACAGACAGAGTATTTAAAAGAACACAAATATATTTTTGGTAATACTCCCAACATTTTTCTTTTTAAATATGGATTTAATTTGTGTAAAAAGTTGTGATAAAGTTTGAGAAGCTGAGAAATACAAAATGAGAAATAACGTTTCTTTTATGTTGAAAATCAAAAATTTGACTATGAAGACATTTGAATACACTGAAAATGTTGTACGGATACATAGAACAGTAGAAAAACTTTATTTAACAGGGAGTACACCTTTGGGATGCTACAAAAAGCTGATAGAATATCACAAGAATGGAGATCTCTCTTTCAAATATGTAAAGACTTTCAACATGGATGAATATGTAGGTAAGATGTGCTAATTTTTTGAGAACACGCTATATTGATGATTTTTTTCCATTATTAAAACTGTTAAATACTTTGCCAAAGCACAGGGTCAGTCTAGTGTGTTTGTACTCCTACGTTAGACTTCTGACCATGAGGTCATCTTAAGCATTTTTCTCTATTACTTTGTCCACAAAAATGCAAATAATAAACAGGTGGATCCTGTGCTAAATTCAGTGCTTCACAATACTTCTGTAAAAAGTGTGTTGTCATATAATACTGTGACTAGATTACCTTTGAAGACTTTACACTCTTTGTGATGTATGTGAAAGGAATGTAAACAAATTACTTTGTGCATGCCAACAGGAAATCTTTCTCATAAATATAATTTCAAATATTGCTTTATCTGACTGACTTAGGTTTGCCTTGCATGCCCTATGTTGGTTACACATAGACTAGAATTAAGGCTGTTTGGTTAAATCTTGAAATACTTTAATTTCACTCTAAATTATTTCAGGGCTCCCCAGAAATCATCCAGAGAGCTATCATTCCTACATGTGGAATAACTTCTTTAAACATATTGACATAGATCCAAATAATGCTCATATCCTTGATGGGAATGCTCCAGACTTACAGGCGGAATGTGATGCATTTGAAAAGAAAATTGAAGAAGCGGGGGGGATTGATCTGTTTGTTGGAGGTATGAGGACATGCTCTGTGCTTAGTTATGATTCAAACAAATACACTGACTCTCTAATCACTGTTTTCTTAACTTAGCTAAACCCATTTTTTTCAGTTATGGTGTAAGAAAGTTCTGTGACTAACAAAGAATCAGTATGAATGCCAAAACAGAATGGTTGGTGTCCAAGTTTCTAATAACTTAATTTCAAGTAAGTTTTGAATGCTTTTTTTATTGAAAATGGGGAGCCAAAAGGAAGGAATGAGTCCTGAAACTTTTTTATTAATTTACAATGTTTGAGGATATTTGTTGACTCGCAGGTCTGGAATGATTTACTTTTTTTAACTTTGAAAAGGCATTGGTCCAGATGGCCACATTGCATTCAATGAACCCGGATCAAGTTTGTCTTCAAGAACAAGATTAAAGACTTTAGCAATGGACACCATTTTGGCAAATGCCAAATACTTTGATGGAGACTTATCTAAAGTACCAACTATGGCGCTAACAGTTGGTGTGGGTACAGTGATGGATGCTAGAGAAGTAAGAACTCATTTAGTTCTAGTTGCATGTGTCTCTTTTCAAGACTAGTTGGTATTGATACTGGCATTGAAAGTAAAGAGACCTTTGTTTTGCAGGTGATGATTCTTATAACAGGTGCACATAAGGCTTTTGCATTGTACAAAGCAATTGAAGAAGGAGTCAATCATATGTGGACAGTTTCTGCTTTCCAGCAACACCCTCGTACTATCTTTGTGTGTGATGAAGATGCTACTTTAGAACTAAGAGTTAAAACTGTGAAGTACTTTAAAGGTGAGCACTGAATCAGAGGTTACATGTATTTAAAAAAAAACACAACAAAAAATTTAAATTATATTGATTTAAGTCTGGGCCTTCTAACACTTTACAGTAGCTAATGTATAATATTATATATTCAAAATACTAAACGTTAACTTATTTCTTGTGAATGGAAAAGTGCTAGGAGGCAGAATGTGTGTTCCTTACATTCCTGACAAATCTACTTTGGAAAAATATTTCCTTTGCTTCCAATTTGAAAAGGTAGTTTAGTAATCTTCAACTGTATGTAAAACAGCAGCAGTCTGGTGTTCCAGAATACTGGTCTTAAATATACTGGAAAGGTTCACTTAAAGAAAACTTGATACACTTATCCTGATGTATTTTCATGCTGCTTTTGCTATGTGCAGTAATGTGCTGTCTAGTAAACTTGAAATGTGTGATACAGACTTTGAAGCTACCTGAGGACATTTTTCATCCAGTGCAATTAGCATAACAATCTATACTGACATAGAATACATTTCAGCATTTTACTGTGCTTTTCATATTTGTAGTAGGTATATTGAGCCAAACTTAAAGTTGAGATTTTTGATAGTCATTCAAGACTTCCTAGATATGAATTCTGTTTCACTGAGACTGTAGAAGCTGAGAAAAGTCTTTTTCTCCTAACTATATTAGCACAGCAAGTGCAATTGTGTAAATCAGTCATCTTTCTCACTAGCATGGATACCTGTAGTAGTTGAGGCATCTGAGATCAAGATTGCGATTTATGAAATTATTTTTGCGAGCATTATATCACTGGTGTCCATGTATGTATTGGATTGCAATTCTGACATTAATGTGACTTTTTATCCTGATATCACTTGTGGCCAACTGGTTATTTTGGATTTTTTCAGTATGCTGTTCTCTGCTATGTATTGAGGGGGTGGGGTGTGTTAGTCTTTACCTGTATCACACTGCTAGATAGTACTTGTTGTTTTCAAAGGTAAACTTCTTTAACTGCTTGGGTAAATTTTAAACATTATCCTGTATTTCATATAAACAAAAGCTTGCTTGAGAAAGATACAAACCTAATGTAGAATTACTAGGTATGAATGAGACTGAACATTGTTTTAAAAATATCAAGGGCTACAGTATATGAGTGTGTGCTATTGTGTCACACTGTATTTAATTACCCTGTAATACAGAGCAATAGAGTTCTTAAAGAGATTGCTTATTTTAAACTTGCTTAATTTTACCAATTCTCAAATCAGTGAGATTTCCCCCCTTGAAGATAGAGGAGAAATCAATGTGGGTCAAATTTGGAATTATTTCTGAATCTTGATCTTCAGGTCAGACTTCTTAGGAAGCTAGGTAGTTCTTAATACTGCTAATTATGGTAGCTATTTACTGTGATTTTTCACCATTTAAAAAAATCTCGAGGTACTATATGAAACTTCAAATTTTTTCTGATGATCAAGTACCACACTGGCTGGTAACTAGAATAACTCTTATTCCCCTTCACTTTTTTCTAACTTCCTGAAAACTTATTAGAGGCTGAAATTATCAAGTGTACTTCTTATTGGAAAAGGGAAAGGTAACTTTCTTGCAGAATGAAGCAGAAGATGAATTTTGAATTTACTAACTAACCTGCAGATAAGTCAATTTGGGATAGTTTTTTCCATACTTGTGCATGCTCTTCTTAAAACTGTATGCGGAAGTCTGTTTATTCAAAGCATACTTGAATACACAGTGAGAGTTTCCTTTGAAATAATTATTTTGGCATCTATCAAGTAAGGACTCCGGTGCATACCTTTAAAAAAGATTTAAATATCCTTCATTATATATGCCAGAGGCAGTACTTTGTAAGCATTTTTCATGTGTCTAGGAAGTGGGTAATTATCTCCTCTTCATTTCCCTTTTTTAGAAGAGAAAAACACTGTTAGGAAGTGAAATGCTTTAAAGTTCAAAACATGGTTCTAGTTTGAGTAGTGTGTGCAGCTGTTACTCTTTCAGTACAAATGGCTTTTGTAGCAAATGTATACTTAATATTTTCTCACTGTTAAACTCCTGAAAAAATATTAGACTTGATCTTTCCCATGTACATCAACACAATAGTTATCCTTCATGAAATCTAAAACCATTTCCTTTTTGTCATGTTGCCTTCTAAGGTTTGGTGCTTTTGTACAAACATCTGAAGCCAAGTCGTTAACCTCTAGAGACAAAATGAGCTAGGTTCTTGAGTCAATTATAGGTGTGTTGGCTGTTTAGTATGGCTGAATGTGTCACTAAGTGGAGAAGGAAATAGTAACATCTGCATTTATATTAAATCACAATCACATGCTGCTTAGAAATAGATGCTGCGTAAAATGCCTTTTGTTGTGGTCACCTACAGTAATGACCTCAGATTGTATAGTTATTCAAGTTTCATATTGCTGCAGTGACACAGTTTGCCACCAATGCATCATGTAGCAAAGGTATTTGAATGTTCTTTGCCATAGATAATCACTAAAATGTATGCTACTGTCAGACTTCTTTCATGGTTTTTAAGACAATTTCTCTACTTTTAATGTTGCATATTACTTAAATCTGTAATTTTAGAAGTTAATCTTTAGTTTGGTGCTAAAATGGACTTCTACTTTGCAGTTTGTGAACACTGATCAGTTACTGTTACTAGTCCTTAAGGTGAAATGAGGTTAAAAACATACCAGTTACCAAATGTCATACCTACCTAGATGTAGGTAACACTTTTACTAAATTGTAACAAAGTAAAGAAACACTTTTTTTTTTATTGCTCTTCTCTTTGGCACTTTCCAAAATTAAAGTACTTGAATAGGAAAAAAATACTCCCCTAATCACAGCTACGGATGACTTGTATATGACAAAAAAAAAAGCCTAGCTAGAATAGAAGACAGTTGAACTACTGAAGTTCTTAATCTGCATGAACAGTCTGGATACTTCTAGTTTGGTTTTTCCTGTCTATAGGACTACAAGTACACTATTAATTACAAAGACAGTAATACCACAATGCTAGAACATTGCAAATCAAGCTGTAAAAGTATCAGTATGTGTACATGTGATTTTTATGACAAATTGTGCTATGAGGGAATTTTATGTTGCTGTTACGATTTTTAATACAAAGGAGAGATGGGTGGATCTCATATATTCAATTCATTTGGAAGTATTCCAGATCTACTTTTTTGATGGGTTTGTTATTAGAGAACTGTCTCATCCCTGCTCACTTTATACCGAAGATGTCATTAGTATGCAAGTGATACAGGAATATATATGATGTCTTTAACTTCTGATTTTAAACTACTTTAAATAGCTAGTGGTATTCTCTTCAGTGAACTATTTAAAATGTATACTTTGAAGCAAACTCCAAATAAAAATGTGGATAGAAGGACATGTTGAAAAAGTATAACTAATGTAAAGCTGGCATTGTTGCTTTCCCCTCAAGGTTTAATGCATGTGCACAATAAGCTTGTGGACCCACTGTACAGTATGAAAGAAAACTGAAAGAAGAATTGAAGAGGAACTCCATGTGGGTCAACAGCAACAGTTTTAGGTAGCAGATGAGTTCACTGCTATGCAATATGCTGAAAACTGTTTAAAATGGGGAATCCTAGGTACTGTATTTTTTAAAAGGTCCAATATCTGTACATTCACATTCCATTTCTTTGCTGTGTTGTGCATTTTGCTTTAACATTTGGAGCTCTGTTGTTGGCTGGTACATAACTAAACGGAACAGAACAAACCTGTGGGAGACTGCATGTTATGTAGGAGGGTGGGGGGGAAGCAGAGCACTTATTCTAGCACAGCAATGTAATGCATCTGCCTTGTGTTAGAGAATATGATATTTTATTTCCAGGAATTTGTAATTTGGGGCTTGATTAGTGTAACTACATTTTGCATTTGTGTCTCTAGGCAGAATGGTTTTGGCCTTTGTCAATACTATGGACTCGTAATAGTTGTACAATTTCTACTATGGAATGTTCTGTTTACATACATCTAATGTACACTGAGCTTTCGCACTTGGTTGCCTTAAATTTATCTTAAACAGTTTTGGGGCATCTCAAGTCCTGCTGTACAATTCAGGCAAAAATACAAAAACAGTGCCTAAAAATGCACCAAATTCTTGAAAGTTATAACTTACTCCACAGAAAAATATTAAACTTCTGCCATAGCACTTTTTCCTCTCATGTTTTTCAAATTACTTTAGGATTTTTATATTTTTGGTAATTGAGCTTTATATGTAAGGAAAAATCTAAATGTTCCTTTCTGGTGGTACCTGTTTAATTGTACCATTGATGTTACCATTAAATGCCTGAAAAGAGGTTAATTTACAGGAATATAATGTCTGCAAGTTTAAATGATCATGTATTAAAGTCAACTGTTAATCACTTTGCAATAGTTACCTCTCATTGTATCATTATAAACATTGAGCTGTTACAGGGAATGTTATTTCCTACTTTGAATATAAGTAAAACTTAAATATAAATCTATCATTTCAAAATTGTTTTGTTTCTGATATAAATTCTGACATGAATAAATACTTCAAGGTTTTATGGAGAGGTTAGGTGGAAGAAGGCACAAAATTCCTAAGGAAAAAGTTGAGTTTGACTTTTTTGGGGGGGGAGCAGGGGAAGCATGCCCTTGTATAAAATACTCACTGGGAGAAAGTGCAATAAAGCATAACTTCAATAATTTAACTTTTCACCTAGGTAATAGGCAGGTAGCCTTTATTACAAACCACATTACCTCCCCAGGGATGTGGTAGAGTCCCCACTGCTGGAGATTTTTCCAAGATGTGATTAGACAGTGTGCTAGATAATCTCATCTAGGCTCACTTTTCCCATAAAGGGTTGGACCAGATGGTCTTTCAAGGTCCCTTCAACCCTGGACTGTTCTATGATTCTGTGAAATTACAAAAGGAGGGAAGAGTTGGTCTAGAGCAGTGTAGGAAGCCAGGCCTAGTGGTTCAGTTCTTAACAGTAGATTGAACAAGCACAGATTTAAAACAGGCCTTCAGGTTTAAGACTCAACTTTTTTACTTGCATTTTTGCAGCATAATGCAGTGTTGGGGGGAAAAGTTTAAAAGACTGTGCTTCAGGAGAATGCTGTTTCATGTAGCATATGACCCACAAAATGCATTGTTAGGCTTGCTGTTCTTAGTCTTTACAGCTAAGAAAGACTTTATAAAGTAAACACTTGTATTACATAAAGTGTGAGACTAAAAATAATCCTGAATTTAGGTTACTATTAAAGGAATTCAAGCACATTTATCTTGATGATCATGATCCATCCTCTGGCAAAACTGGGAGTTCTGTTGAGGAAACAATAGAATTTAGGTTCAAGCATGAGTGGAAATCCATAGTGCTTATATCCTTCTACTTCTAAAAGCTTTTTCTTCCTTGCAACTCCTCATTTTTATTCTTTATTACAGAGCACCTTTCAGTCATCTGCCTCTCTTGGCAACCTTACCAACTAAAGCCCTTTTTTGTGTTCTGTCAAGACATGGGAGACCACAGAATTAGTTTCTCTTCTCCCTTCATAACTACTAGAACTTCTGTGAAACACAGGCCATTTCATAGTCTTCAGTTGTTCTCCACTATGTTTCTGTTGTTAAACTTTTTTCTAACTTTTAAGGGGAGGGGGCCAGGAATCTTGCTTTAGTTCCTTTGCTCTTAAGCATGTATTGCTCTATCTCTGCTTTCTTAAAAGCTATCTTTAAAGATAGCATTCCTGATAGCTTTTTTAGGGGAGGAATAATAATAGTGATAGAGATACTTGAATTGGTCTTTTTGGTGGAGCAGTTATATCTTGTGTTTTAATATATTAAAACTTACTATTTCTTTTGAGATTAGCATAGCTAGGCTGTATTAATGGTAAACTGACACACTTTAACAAGTTTAAAATAAATAGTATGGTACATTAAAAAAAGTCATGATTAGTTTTTCCTGTGTGATGTCCCAGTATCATCATGATTTCCTGACAACAGCAATTTTAGAAAGTAAAACAGGAAGTAGCTTGAAATTTTTTTGGCAATAGTTCAAACTTTGGGTTGTTTTTTTTTTTAGAAAAAAAACCAGCACTGTTTGTCTATACATACCTCTCATACAAAGACTTGCAATGCAAAAATAAAACATAATTATGTTAAAATTTAAGTGTTAAAAGTATGAAAACAATGAAATACAATGAAAAACAATACAATGAAATCTTCTGGATTCAGTCAAGCGAAATAACTTTAATTTCATAATAATCTACAAGTATCTGTACATTTTAAGTACATAGTCCTTTCAATTTATTTCCCACATATATTTAATTTACACCACTTAAACTCAAATATGTTCCCTCTCACAGTGATAAATTATACATTAGCTCATTATGCTACTGTCTACAAAAAGTTGAGAGAATAATCAACTGCACGTCACTGATCTCTATTTGTCAGTTTGTCTCTTTAAAACACGTATAAAGGCATCTCTTGGTACTTCCACATTGCCAATTTTTCTCATCAACTTCTTCCCTTCTGCCTGCCTCTTTAAAAGCTTCATTCTTCTTGTAATGTCTCCACCATACTATGAAAAGGAAAAGATGTTTTAGTAAGCTTAAATGCAACTACAGTACATTTCAGCAACACTAAACTCAAGGGCTTAAAAATAGTTAGAAAGGCTAGTTATAGTAGGACAAAAGATTATTTTATACTCCAAATGGTAATGCCAAAAGGCTACTAATTAACAAGGGAGCAAGTAAGCATGTTCATTTGGACAACTGAGGGTTGAATTCAGTTACCTAAATGTATACATTCACATAAGCCTGGCTAACATTAGACACAACCTATAGGAGGATATCTAAATCCCTTTGGAATAGCAGCAGGATGCCAGCTCAGATACGCTGTGGCATCTTGACTAGCACTAGGTGCTTACATCTAGATAAATTAACTGAACCCTTAGTACAATGCTGAACAAACACCATCCCACATATGTGCCTAGCAGAAGAATTCTATAATAGTTGTGAGAAAGGGACACTTGTTTAATTTTTTTCCAACATGTTTGCTTCAGAGAGCTACATATAAGACAAGTAAGAGGCATCACACTTTTCTATAGCTTTGTTGAGTCTTGTTGATAGGCAACTATTGCATATTTAAGGCCTTATCATGATGTATTACTGAAAACCCAAGTAAAAGTCTAATCACAATCAAGTCTCTAAAGAAGCACCTTTTACAGTTTCTTAAATCACCTGAAAAACATAATTTAAGAAACGTGAAGTTACACATATGTTTGTGTACACACACACACACATTTATTATATATCTACAACTAAAAGAAAACGGTGAGGAGACAGGAGTGATCACAGACACGCTCTGCCGAGTTCACTCTTAAGTGTGTAATTTTGAAAAAGCCATTACTCTTTCTGATCCACTCTTACTGCAAGCTGCAACTAGACGTTACATGCGTTGAATTCTAAAATGAAAGCTTAAAAGTATCTGTTAATATTCCATTGACATTCAGGAGCACAAGCAGAACATGTCCTTGCTGTGTTTCATTTAAAAAAGTGAAAAAAAAATACCTACACATTTTGCCACAACATTTTTTCTGTAAGCTTTCAGCCTGTAAAATAGAGTACAATATATACATTAACACATTAGAGCTTCTCCTATATGTGAAGCTAAATACCGAGTTGTCAAAATGCTAAGCATTGTTTTTCCACTAGTTTTGTAAGATGGATTGGAATCATGACATTTTCATGTTTTGTATACAGAAGATGAAGCTCTAAACAGAAGTCTTAATTCACATTTCTCAATTCTAGAAATACCCCTTAAGGTGTATAATATTACATAAAAATTACAATCTTTCTTTTTTATCTAGGATTTCTGCTGTGATTCACAGTGTTACATATGTGTGTGCATATAGATATGTACACACATATTCTTACAGCACCTCTGCTTAGATCCCTACCTTTAATTCTTTTACCACAATTTAGATCCTATTTTAACAGCAGCAGCAAAAACGTGACAAGAAACACAACATCAAGGAAACAGTTTGCTCTAAAAGAAGTGAGTGCTGCTAAGAAATAGTTGTGTGTTCAGCTTGCAACATACTTCCTTTGGAACAGCACACTTCAGTTTTTTTTTTTGCTGACTCTCCCAGAGATTAAACTATTCCACAACTAGCTAATTTTTTTCAGCAGTAAGAAACTTTTTCCACTGCCAAAGAGGAAGCGGACACATGGGTGTTGCAAGTTATACTCTACCCACTAAATGCAATGATGACCATAAACAATGTAAAATAAAAATACTTTTTTTCAATTAAATTTATACAGAGTCCTTAGTCATAGTAACAGCTCAAATGTTTGGTGTTTCTTCCCTCCCCACCCCCCAAAAGGTCCAGTAACACATACAAGAGTGGGAACAAAAGGGCTTCACTTACGTTTCTCTTGCAATGATTTTCTTGCCAATAGCAGCCTGGATGGCTATTTCAAACAACTGTCTCGGTATAGCATCTTTTAAACGTTCACACAGGAATTTACCAGTAGCATATGCCTTATCACTAAAAAAGAAAGTCACCAGTTGTTTTCAGAAAGAGTTAATACAACCCCAAAAATACAGCCATAGACCAAACTGTTTAAATGGATTTTAGTAGAGGTTTTCCTCTTTTTAACTCAAAAGATAAGCTGATCAAATCATAATTTTACATCTAATGAGTGGTCTCTCTATATCACCTGTTTGTATGAAACGGGTGGTAACATTGCATTAACAGAAGGTCTTCAAATAGATTTAAAATATTTATAATAAACACCCTGCTCACCTATCACACTGAAGCCATTTTGAATACTGTCACAGCTTCAAGTGCAATTTTAAACTAGAAGGTTAAGGAGGATTTTCATTGGTTGTAGGCCCGAAAGGTCAAAAGATCTACATATTACAGAAATATTTTTAAAACATCTGGTTTTATATAATAAGAAAAAACCCAAAACATTTTAATGTACTCCTGTCATCTGCTAATAAAAATTATCCAACTATATTCAGCATCTGCATATGCTTCAAGGTTTTGGAAAGAGAAAATGACAGAAGGTCTGAAAAAGCTACTAAACAGATACTTTCATAAGGCATTGGAAACAAATGGGTCTCTTCTCTCTAAACACATCCATATTTAGCGTATATTTTTTAGCAACATACAGCTGCTACATGAAAACATGTACAACTATTTTCAACTATGTGACTCCTTGCTACCTGTATAAAGCAAACAGTTTAAGCATGAAGTACTTAAGTAATGTTCATTAAGCATTACAGTTTTAGAAGATACAGATATTTATTTGTATAATTAGGACAAATAACAACAGCTAGTTTAATACTGAACTTACAGTAATCTTGGTAAGTCTTTCTCTGTAAATGTAATTCAGCATAATTCTTTTTACATAGACAGATGTAGTCTATTTACAGTGAGAGGACGCTGAGAATAACTGAAGCAGGAGCAGAATGAATTCTGACTACAAGTTAAAAAATAATTTGTAATCTAAAGCTAAAAGAAAGGCTATCATCAGCTTTATTGAGCAAAACAGTTCAGGAGTGTAAGCTAAACTGATCAAGAAACACATGTTAAAGCAATAACTAACTTTTGCAAGGCTGGCCACTCTATTTTGCATCTTTTCAAAGAGATGCAGGTAGACTGCTAAACACTGTGTATTTATGAAAAACACATTAAGTAGCACATATATAAGAGAGAGTTGCTCCACTCCAGCCCATGATCTTTCTGAACAAAGTAATGGTTTTATTTTCCTATGTTGACCTTCTGAAGTTAAGGAATTCCATGGATTTCAGGATTGCAGTTATGTAAAAAATATGAAAATATACAAATTTTTAGCAACTACAAATTAGTATTTTAAGAAGGACAATAAAAAACCCAAAACGAAACCAAACCAAACCCTGAAAAAGTTGACCTCAGGATTACTAGAAAGGGATGCTGAAGTTACAGAAGGGAGCCTTATAAAGACTTTGTAGGAAGAAAGCAAGGGGAGAGGCTGGAAACATGAAGACATTATTCTCACCAGCAAAACAGTAATTCCCGAGAAACTTAGGGAAACTGAATCATTTTAGCAAAAAAAATGAGTTAATTACATCCAGTAAATATTTACTTACTCCTGGTGCTCTGGCTGGAGACAAGATAACAACAAACTTCCATAGAACAGGAATTATTGGGAGCATAAAATCAAATTTTTTTCCAGTTTTTCAGCATTAAATAATAAGTACCATAAACGATTCATGTGGCATCTCCTAGACTGGTCTGTATTTAAATTTTTCCAGCTCCTTAAAAGATAGGCATTTTGCATTTCCTTCTGCCCTCTGCCCTACATTACCACAAAAGTGTATCTAGCACTTAAGTGCCTCTCTTTTTCAGATCATCTCAAAAAGTAGTGATGTGGTGAAATCCTCAATGCTCTTTTCATACGTATTTGTCATATATTAGTGATACGTACATATGTTTTCATTGTATATTAATAGGAAGTCTTATTTCTTTGGAGCAGAGAATCCAGTCAACCTACTTGTGTATGATCGTTGACAGTTCTTCAACTGGATTTCCATTTAGAAGAATATCCATTTTGATAAGGTCTGCTGCCTGGTACCCTGCATCTTCATAATCAAAACTAAACGAAAGGAGTTTAAAAGTTAGTGATGATTTTGTAAAAAATTATATTCTGCATTCTTTGTTCCATAAATTTTAAATTTTAGACACATTTCTTAATAAAACACTCACACTTTGTATTAAAATAGGAGCACAGTTTTTAATAGTCTCTCAGTATGTCTCCCTTATGCAAGACTGGACTAGAAATTTACTGCAGATGAATCTCATCTCCAAGGCAGCAGAAGTCATCATCCTGTCTTCCAGCTACTGATCAAAGTTAAATCAATCGACAATCTACATTCTTGCTACAATCTCTTAAAGTGTTTATTCAAACACTTCTTTTCTATCAGCTAGAAGTTCCCTAAAGCTCCAGGCAACAGAACCCTTCAACACAGCTTTTAAACAGTAAACATCCTTGATGTCACACAAATCAAATACTAACACTGGATTGTTTTCTTTTCATCCTCTCATTTGACAGACTTTTTATATGACCCCTATTATCATCCTCTCTGACAATGAAGTTTTCCTCTTCATTTCCAAACCCTATTTCTCCTTTGGTAGGTATGGGCCTTGCTGTCTGTGTGTCAGTTTGCAAAAGTTCTTAAAATGGAGGAGATGCAAATATATATGTATTTTTTACATATATATTGATAGATATAGATACATATCTTGTATGTAAGTAAAAATGTGGAGAATGCCAATAGCACTAACCTGGTCAGAAATACCAGAACAAAGGGGGAAAAAAATCCTTTGAGAGTATTTGAAAGTAATTCTGTCTTAATTGGCTTAGATAAACCATAGTTGTGTGAATAGAACCATATAACAGAAGTATGATTATTGAGAGCATTAAACACACAAGCAACATGAGGGAGTCAATTAGGAAATAAAAATCAAGAAATAAGACAAGGCAACATTGTTTGCAATCATGCCTGTATCAAAGGAAACCCAGCATTGTTCTAGCCTCTGAATTTATAGAAACTACCCACAGCAGAACATTTTGTCTCAAAATACAGATGATTTACTTTATTCCAATAATAAAGCATGTAAGTAAATTGTCATTTTAAATATAGTTAATTGATTCTTTTTACTAGCTATAGAATCAGTATTTGGTTATTTTCCCTTTTCCACCAAGAGACAATACAATAAGAAGTAAATTTTCAGTGATTCCTTTGATAGAAAATGCCCATTGTCACTTCAGACAAGTAAGAACCATCTAGATCTTACTTATATGTGCCGCTTCATATGTCACACCTGAAAAATACATGTATCACCAAAGAAAATTAATATTAGGTAGTGATGCACTCTAGTGTTTTTCAAGACGTATTTCCATCAATTTTCACAGTGAGTCTACTTCATTAAAGGTGAAGTAAGACTTGATTTGCAGCATCATCATAAAAGAATATTCTTCACTTGTGCCCTTCCATATCTTCTCCTCAGATCTTTTTTTGTCCCGTCCCCCGTCCCCGTCCCCCCTCTCTTCAGGGTCCAGGGTGGGGGCAAGGTGAAGCAGGTACAAAGGAGGTAGTTACCTTGCATAACCAGAAGACAGAGACTTAAGAGCATCATAAAAATCCACCACAATTTCATTCAGTGGAAAGAGGTATTTTAGCATAACCCTGCGTTCATCAATGTACAACATATCCTTCTGGACTGCCCTACGATCCTAGACAAATAAAAATTGTTTCAGTTCCCCTTAACAGAAGTTTTCTAAAAATAAATACAAAGCTAATTAAAATAAACAGCTATCCAGTTACACAAGAGAACTCCTGTACTTCAAGCCCCAAAGTAACTTTCTTATTGGTAGTTTGCTAAAGTCCCAGAACAAACTGCAGCACTGTCATAAGTGAAGTGGTTGTAACTTAACTGGACAAATTATTCAAGTCTACCCTCTCTAAAATCTGAATTTCTGAAATCCTTAACAGCTTCTGCTTACTGCTGCCTTTTAAATGTATAATTATTTGTCAATAAAGTCTCACTGAAGTTAGATTTTCACATACATTGGAGTACTACACAGTAGGACTCACAGGCTCATCTTCTTTCCTGCCAGGAGGGTGTTCTTCAAAGTTATTTTAGGAATTCTTTTTAATGGATCTTATACTTCACTGTATGGACATACAAGTACTGTACTCTTGTGTATTATGTATTTTGAAAAGTTAAAATATTGTAAGAAATTATATAAATTCAATATGTATAACAATTAAAACATTTTGTTAAAATTATTCCAAATACACTTGGAGAAATGTGTTTGGCCATCACTATCATAAATGTACTCCAGTGAAGTACTGAAAACATATATGAAGCCTCAGTAAAGTATTGACAGAAGCTGTATTTCCATGAATATACTTCTAAAAACCAATAGATCTTATTCCCCTGCTGCAGATTCCATTCTTTCAGGAAAACAGAAGTAGCTATGAATTTGTCTAGTGCAGGATGCTTGACTAAGTACTTTACTGTCACTGAGCTTCATCACTAACTTTCACTATACGGAGTTTGTAGTTCAGAAGAAATTTTACACTTAACGTTTAAATATTCTTGAAATAAAAAATACTTTAATTATTACTGTCAAAGATACTATTTAAGTACAAATATCTAGTATCTTCACTTTAATGATGATATGGCGAGCTTAAGAAATACAAATGACAAAACTAAAACTATATACCAACCTGACACAAAGCGATTATTTTTCCAATATATTCATGAGGTGTTACAATAGTACCAAGAACAGTTGGCTCTAAATATTCAGATACTGAAAGTTTATCAGGAAACTGAGCAGGGTTAATAATAGTAATCTCTGCTTTACCATACTCCTGAAAACAAACAAATAAAACAGATACTGTAATCTTGAAATAAGTAGACTGAACACTGAAGGAGACAAAAACAGCACTGAAAAAATGCTAAAAAATGTTTCAATTGCTTGGAAACACATGCGAATTATGCAACCCAAATTTATACCACGCACAATTTTAAGAGATTTCAACATCGCATACAGAAGTCCCTCATCAGCATATCTTTAAATATTATTATATAGAAGAATTATAGGAATTACTTTCACTAGGAAAACGAGTTTTTAAGCATTTTATCCAGTGAATTTTAAACAGAAGAATTGCTTAGAACTAGGACTACAACCTAGAGTTAGAAATAAAAAAGCCTTTCTGTCCATCTTTCGACCTCTCTCTTGCCTGCAGAGCAAGGATCTTTCTTCTTACTCCATCCTGATCCTGTGAGGTATAAGACACAGCTTCAAGAAAAGACCTGCTCCAAGTATTCTGCAGTTTGGTGATGCGGACATTCTTCTCTAAATAGGACTTCGGGTTCAGGCTCCCTTACAGGCTGAAGTGGGCTTAGAAATTAAGTTTTTGATTCCTGTGCAAGTGCTTTCATTACCTATTTCTTGTAGTCCAACATCCCAATAGGGGCTGGAGTTATCCTTCTGAAGTAAGGATAAAAGGAAGGTCATGCTTCTTATGTACATACAACCTCCTCCACGCACCAAAGCAAGTGATTATATCACTTCCACTGACAAGGCAGTGTCCTTGAACAATGACCTAACTTCCAGCACTGTTTGAAAACAGCGTCCCACATCAGCAATCCAGAATCACTTATGCACCAAAGGTGTCTACTACTTCATTCATTGCTGCTACACTGCCTAAGAAAGAAAGCAAAACAACTGGAGAGAAAGGGTCTATGCCTTACGCTTTGCAAGTACAGCAACCTTTCTTATACAACCTGTTTCGAATTTACAGATTTTCTGTCATGTTTAGAGGTACATGTTGGATAATAATGAGCCAGCCTATTTACAGTCTCCTTTCAGCAGGTGTTCGTAAGTCCACCTCTCTCTCCCAAAATCAAGCGCACAGTAATTTTTTTTGCACCCAGTTCAATGAAGTTTGCACATGGCTATTTCACTGTGATCAAAAACTTACTTGTCTTCACCAGCCCCTGCCAGTCTTACAGTAGCATTACAAGCTATTCCTAAAAATGTTAATGTTTTCTGACTGATAAAACCTGGAAGATTATTTCACCTGCTTTAAACTCATTCCAGTCAGTATGCACTTAAAAGAATACAGCAAGAAATGTGTCCTTTATTCCCATTTGTATCAAGGGCAAGTATAAGGCGTAAAATGAGAGTGCTTGAGGTGGAAAGAGGAAGGAAAGTTAACATTCTTCTTAAAAAAAAAAAAAAATCAGTTGAAAAAAGTTTTAAGTTAAATATTGGTGTTTCTAACATTTGCCATAAAATAAAGTCTACATTAAAAGAAAAAGTGTACATGTTTATTATAGGAGGCTTTTAAGCTGCTATTTATATAAAGCTGTAATAACTTTAACATACCTTTATCAACTTTGCTGAGGAAAGAATAGCTTTATATGGAACTGTAGGTGCAGTCAAAATAACAGACATGTTATACTCTTGCTCCAAACGTTGATTAAAAACTTCCATATGTAAAAGACCAAGGAAACCCAACCTGGGAAAAAAATATCCTGTTGGTGAAAGTATTTTTATATCCCCTGGAATTTCACAGTGTTGGTTCCCCCCTCCCCAGCATGTTTACACTGCTAGTCTGGCAGTATCAGGCACAGCAAACAATCTCAAAATGATCCTACAGTTGAACAGTATGAGTCTTTGAGAACAAAAACTATCAATCACAACAAATTGCATACTCTGCGCGAGTACAGAACATAAGAATGCTTTTGATCTTTACCTATCATTAATTTGAATTAAAGCTCCTAATCTTGAATTCATTTTAATTTGACCTTCAGCTAACTTAAACTTGCATCCTCAATTTATGAACCATTCCAAAAATGAAAGCAGTATAAAAGCCTCACCTCCATCCAGCTCCTAAGGCAAGGCTACTGTCACGATGAACAGTTACACTGGAGTCATTCAATGTCAGCCTTTCCAAAGCACTTTTGAGATTATTATATTCTGTTTGGTCTACAGGATACATTCCTGTCAAAACGTATTAGATAGAATTTATGTGATAGAGAGCTTTATCTAGTGTGTACTTAGCTTTCAAATATGCCTCTTACAGTGAACACAGTAGTAAAATCAGAAATAGCTTACTTTCTGTTCCAACTTTAAAATGTGAAAAACAATGTAAGGAATTTTTTTTCTCCCTCCCCCCCAATTAGTTAAAATGTAACAAAGTTCTACATTATCTCATAAGAACAGGAATTAACATTCAAACCATAATGGTAGGGATACTGTACTCATCTAATCCTTCACAGTTGTGGAAGATGCACAATTTAGTAAAACCACTGTTTTGCAGGGCTTGGGTGTAAACATACAGCTTAAGCATAACTGAATAAACAAATTTCACTGAGATGCTCCTTCAAAGATAAGAGTGAACAGCAAAAAAAAGTGCCACATCTAACAAAGTTGCAAATGTTTCTATATTTTTTGAAACTAATAAAAGCAGCTCTCTCTATAATTACTACCTGAAATAGATTCTACTGTATCACTTTTCACATGACCGTGTGTTCAGAAAATGTTCATTGCTCTACACCAAGAAGCAACACATGTGCATACAAAAAACATTATTTACAGGATTACACTTTTCTATATTCACTGACAGACCACCTAATCTCCACAAGACAGTTCAAGTGAGTTTTACACATACCCTCACAAGTCTAGAAAGTGATTTCCAGAATTTAGTTCTTTCTAAAGCCATCTTCCATAGTATTTGTAGTAGTTACTGAAGCTGGTGGAAACAGCTCAACAGAACTATATAAGCTTAAAAAGTCAAGTATTTTACAGAACCATTCCGAATATTAGCTTTGGCAGTTCACCATGTTTAATGGAAAAGAAACAGCTGCTAATTTTTAAAAGAAAAAAAAAAGTCACAATAATTATGAAAACCTGATTATCTAGGTGAAGAATTACCCAAAATGGACTTAGTTTTTTAAAGCCTCAACCCTTTTCAAGCTATCAAGAGTTTACTGGCATTAGAAGCTATTGATAATAATGGCTAAATAATAATAATAATCATGGCTAAAAATACATTTTAGTCTTGTATTTATATAAAACCAGTCTGCAACTATTATTAATCCTGTCTGTTAAGTCACAGGGAAAATGACACGACACTACATAAATGACACACCTCTTAGCTTAACTTTGCTAAACTTCTAATCCTCACAACTCTTAATATACACGTATGTTCTTTTAAAAGCTCTAATAGCTCTCTTACTCTTGTTACTAGAAAGAAGTAATTCCACTTCATATCAGTTTACTCCTCACCTGCAAAAACCATTGGCTTCGCTGACTTAAAGCCAGGCAAAGGCTCCACTGGCTGTTTATACAAAAACAGTGTGTCTCCTATTTGGGCTTCTGTTACTTCTTTCATTCCAGCAATCAGGTAGCCCACCTGTCCAGCATATCTAAATAAAATTGGCATTATATGGACATGCTTCTTGGCATTATCAGTATTTCCACTATTCTTCCCACTTGACTTAGCTCAATCAGAAATGCAAATAAATCACCCCACCTAAAAGCCCATAAGCCAGACTTAAGTTGTTTCTCCTCTGAGTTGTGAGCTTTGTCTCAAGGGACAAGCGATCTGTTGACTCAAGTAGCTCTATTTCTGTTACAGTTAAACAGTACATTTATAGTTCTGGATTTTGAATTCTGTGCTACTGCCAGTTTGAAGGCTGTAGCTAGAGGGAAGTTCTTGGGCATCTCAGACAGAACCAGAACAGATCCCAGCTGCCAGCACAGCAAGCCTCATACACTAAGTGGCAGAAACAACAAAAGACAAATGCCTTCCATCAGCACATAATGCCGTTAGGAGAGGAACCCATGGCTGATACGCTAAAACACAGTGTACTAGTTTTGGCTGAAATGGAGTTAACTTTCTTCATAGCAGCCCCATATGGTGCTGCATTTTAGATTCATAACTAAAACGGTGTTGATAACATACCAATGTTTTAGCTATTGCTGAATAGTGCTTGCACAATGTGAATGCTTTCTCTGTTTCTTACTCTGCTCTCGCAGCAAATAGGCTAGAGGTTGGCAAGAGGCTGGGAGGTGGCAAAGCCACGACAGAGTACCTGAACTGACCAAAGGGACATTCCATGCCACATAACATCATGCTTGGCAATAAAAAACAAGCAGTGTAGTCTTTCCAAGGTGGCTGTTACTTGTAGACTAGCAGGGCATCAGTCTGCTTGTGGGAGGTGGTGAGTAATTGATTGCCTTTGCATCACTTGTTTTTATTTCTTTTCTTTTTCCTTCACTTATTAAACTGTCTTTATCTCAACCCAGGAGTCTTTCCTCACTTTTGCTCTTCCAATACTCTCCCCATCCCACTGGGGTTGAGGGAGTAAGCAAGTGGCTGGTTGGGTCCTTAGTTGCTGGCTGGGTTCAACCCACCACACGCAATAACGTAATCTCACTGAGAATCTCCCAGGAAAGTCATTAACACATACTTGGATGCAAACTGATAAAGCTTCTCCACTAATTCTAAGTACCTGATTTTCTTCCCACTGCTGCCATAAGGAGCCAGTTTCTGGAAGGTGTTGAATTCATGGATTTTAAGTTTTCACCCTCAAAATATGCTGCAGCAATAACTAAGATGAAGCCCCATTCCCTTCCACTCTCAAACAAGGTAGTTCCTAGAAATAAATTGGACAGCTGAATAAGAGGATCAAATGCTAGTCTTTAAAAAAAACAACTAGCTGTCCAGATGTTCCATGTACTATAGATGATAGAATGGCTTCCTCCCCCTAGCACTGCCCAAAAGGCAGTCCCCAAAAGCTTCTGCCTCAGTATGCCCAAAATGAAAGAGACTGACAGCAAGCATTAAATTACAAACAATAATCATAAAAAACACCACCACCAAAGAACAAGAACAAAAAACCCACATATCTCCCAGCCTTTACCATTCAAAGCAAAAATCAAACAGAAATGCAGGATTTTGTATCTTATATCAATTTATGATTTGTTCCACTGTAAGAAATTTTTACTTACAGCTTATGCGTTGGCTGTTCATTTGGAGTCAGAATTCCGACTTCATTAACTTCGTATCTTTTCTTTGTGTGTGCAGACACAATTTTATGCCCTTTCTCAATCTCCCCACCAAAGAGTGCAATGTTAGCTATGACGCCTCGGTAGTGATCAAAGGTGGAGTCAAACACTAAGGCTTTCAATGGATCAGCAGTATTACATTGGGGTCTGTCACAAAAAATTTAAAACAAAATATTAAGCAATGTGTTTTTCATTCAATATTGAATGAGCAAGCATCCCCTCCCCAAAGCTTTCATATTAATATAGATAAAACAACTGAGTAATTTTCAGTAAATACATACCAGACATAATTTCAGTGTTTCACTATGTATTATGCAGCAAATCTTTACATTTTATTTCCCCCATGTGCAACAGCAGTACAAACAGAACAAAAACAAATGCATATCCATCATACCCATTTCACAACAGGTGAAACTGATGCTTAAAGTATCATATTATGGGGGACAACAAAAATTCAACAGTTACATTCCAACAGCTGAGTTTAAAAACAAGTCTACTGATATTTTGGGTTTGCCGTCTTTCACAGAAACCTGATCTCAGATTTTCATTGTGGATTTTTTTTAACTATAATTATTAACTAATATGAGGACTACAATTATTAGCTAATCGTAGGAAAAAAAGAATGAAATGCAATATGCTGATTGAAACAACTGTAATTTAGCAGCTTTGTCATCAAGTTCTTAGATAAAAGTCTATTTTAAATGTTGTGTTCAGGATATGAAACTCTAAACACCACAGATTTCAATTACCTTTATCATTTTAACAATGCAATGTTTGAAAGGAGTAACAGCACACATCCTCAAACACTGAGTTTCATGGAAGCTGTATGAACAGTCATAAGTATCACCTTTAGTGGCTTACCTCTCATCTTTCATTACAGACTGACTCAATTTTCCTCTCCCACTTTTTAAGAATAAAGTCTACTGATATTCACACATTCATTTTTTAAAAGGCATCTCAAATCTGGTGTCATTTTTTCTGATTTGCAATTTGAAACTGACTTAATCAGCTCCAACATTAGATTTCTCTCACATCTCTAAAGTATTGACTTTAAATCAGATGAATATTAAGTACAAAACTACCACCATGTACATGCAACTCACGGTTTCCTAATTAACTTTACAATGGTTCATAATCAAAATACAGACTTACGGAGGAATCTTCTCAATGACCTTTTGAAGAACTTTTTCAACATTTGTTCCTTGTTTAGCAGAAATCTAAAAAAAAGTCCAACAACAATTTTATAAGACATGCATCTACACTCATTCAGTATCTATTAAATAGCGTCACGTTTACTTAGACAGTTTTGGTGGCCACAGATATTACTACCCATAAAAGCACTCTGAAGAACACTTTAGAATGCTATTACTATGAAATGGTTATTTGATTATAAATTATTCTGTAACTTTTTTTTCTCTTCTGAATGGCAATTGTGGTTAGGATAAAAATGAAAACAATTTATGGACCCACAATGAGAAATAATTTTAAATGTATCTGATGTCATTCATCAAGACATACTAGAATTTTTAACCAACAAGTATGTTCTCCACTCTTGTTTTCCAGGAGACAATCTTTAAAGAAATTAATGTATGTCAGACAAAGACAGGCAGACAGATGACACCCTGTTGCTTTACTACATATACATGTCTTTCATTAGCTAAGAAGTACATATAGTTATACAATCAGCCATTTTATAAAACTGCAAGAGATCTTACCCTTACACATTCTTCTACAGGGATATCAAACAGCTTCTCAATTTGTTTTTCAACTCTTTCAGGGTCTGCGTTCTTCAAGTCAATCTGAAAAACAACAAACTGCTAAATATACAGGCAACCACATCTTCCATGTGATCCAGCACTGTAGCTTCCAAATATACAAGTCAAGGAACCTTTATGTATTTATGAGTAAATACTGGATGTCTTCAGGAAAAGATCTTTATCAAGATTCATTTTAGAAAAAGTCTTCCTTGCTTGACTTCAGGAAGGATCCCCTCTGTAACTAGACTACTTTTTGTTTCATTAGGCAAAACACCTTTGTCCAAGAGCTGGTAAAAATCTTTTATTTTACAAAGTAATTTGAAAGCATAAGTGTTACCTATACTGTTTATAGGATCAAACATTAAGTACAACATACATCTACAAAAAGCAATTAATTTAAGCTAAGCAATAACTAATCTTGTGATTCCAATCATACAGCCCACAAAAATTGTATAAACCACAACATTTGGATTTCATTTAAGACTACACTTTTTTAAATATCGAGCTGCTTCTCATGTGATCTCCTCTGTAATCATTAACAAAAAGAAAAAAAAACAAAACAAAAAACAAACACTAAAGCACATGGAGAAACATATGGATTATCATAGCAAGAACGTTTCAAGTTATTTCTGTAAAAAGCCACTCAAAGATTCACCAGAAAAAAAAAATATTTTAAATGGAAGGAATTTCAATGTTCATAAACTGGCACATTTAAATTATGATAGGCTACAGGATTGTTACATATATTCCAAATTATTTAAGTCCTTCCTATCCACACACCGTCCTATCCACAGATAGGAGTCTTAAGTGTTCTCAGGTTAAAGAGTCAACTAAGTGACACAGAAATTACACAAGTTACACATCACTAAGGCGAGTGTGTATGTACAAATAGAAGACAACCTAAGGTCACACTGACAGCCTTCTAAATTGTTCTCATCCGTAATTTCCAATTTGAAAACCCCAGCTGCTAAAAATCTGTCAAAAAGCAGGATTAGTAGAATGATAGAATCATTTAGATTGGAAAAGATCCTTAAGATCATCAAGTTCAACCATAAACCTAACACTGCCAAGTCCACCACTGAACCATGTCCCTAAACACCACATCTACATGTCTTTTAAATACCTCCAGGGATGGGGACTCAACCACTTCCCTGGGCAGCCTGTTCCAATGCCTGACAACCCTTTCAGTAAAGAAATTTTTCCTAATATCCAATCTAAACCTCCCCTGGCACAGCTTGAGGCCATTTCCTCTCATCCTACCTCCAGCCATCTGACAGAAGAGACCAGCACCCACCTCACTACAACCTCCTTTCAGGTAGCTGTAGAGAGCGATAAGGTCTCCCCTCAGCCTCCTCTTCTCCAGACTAAACAACCCCAGTTCCCCCAGCCGCTCCTCATCAGACTCATGCTCTAGATCCTTCACCAGCTCCGTTGCCCTTCTCTGGACACACTCCAGCACCTCAGTGTCTTCCCTGTAGTGAGGGGCCCAAAACTGAACACAGGACTCGAGGTGCGGCCTCACCAGCGCCCAGTACAGGGGAAGAACCACCTCCCTGCTCCTGCTGGCCACACTATTGCTGATACAGGCCAGGATGCCGTTGGCCTTCTTGGCCACCTGGGCACACTGCTGGCTCGTATTCAGCTGGCTGTCGACCAGCACCCCCAGGTCTTTCTCTGCCGGGCAGCTTTCCAGCCACTCTTCCCCAAGCCTGTAGCACTGCATGGGGTTGTTGTGACCCCAGTGCAGGACCCAGCACTCGGCCTTGTTGAACCTCATACAATTGGCCTCAGCCCATCGATCCAGCCTGTCCAGATCCCTCTGTAGAGCCTTCCTACCCTCAAGCAGATCAACACTCCTGCCCAACTTGGTCTCAGCTGCAAACTTACTGAGGGTGCACTCGATCCCCTCATCCAGATCATTGATAAAGATATTAAACAGAACTGCCCCCAATACTGAGCCCTGGGGAACACCACTTGTGATGGCCACCAACTGGATTTAACTCTATTCACCACAACCCTCTGGGCTCAGCCATCCAGCTGGTTTTTTACCCAGCGAAGAGTACATGCATCCAAGCCATGAGCAGCCAGTTTCTCCAGGAAAATGCTGTGGCAAACAGTGTCAAAGGCTTTACTAAAGCCTAGGTAGACAACATCCACAGCCTTCCCCTCATTCACTAAGTGGATCACCTTGTCATAGAAAGAGATCAGGTTGGTCAAGCAGGTCCTGCCTTTCATAAACCCATGCTGACTGAGCCTGATCCCCTGGTTGTCCTGTACATGCCGTGCGATGGCACTCAGGATAATCTGCTCCATAACCTTCCCTGGCACCGAGGTCAGACTGACAGGCCTGTAGTTCCCTGGATCCTCCTTTTGGCCCTTCTTGTAGATGGGCATCATATTAGCTAACCTCCAGTCAACTGGGACCTCCCCCATTAGCCAGGACTGCTGATAAATGATGGAAAATGGCTTGGTGAACACTTCTGCCAGCTCCCTCAGTACCCTTGGGTAGATCCCATCTGGCCCCATGGACTTGTGTGTGTCTAAGTGGTGTAGCAGGCCGCTAACCATTTCCCCTTGGATTATGGGGGCTGTACAAAGGCAGCATCACAACCAGCCTGCTTGGAGCATGGCAGAGCACATGCAGGTTAATCTGCAATTTTCTGGCCATTCATGCCCAAATGCCCACACCAGCTAGACATTCTCACCTGAATTTAACATTGAGACAATCTGAAACCTTGGAATGCCACAGCTTCAGCTTGTTCTCATTACGATAAAATACACAGTACTGAATATTACCTAAGTGGTCAGATGTTTTTCATACCATAGCCCATTTGCATCAAGCTTATTTGTTTACAAACGATAACTGGTTCAGATTTCCTTATCAAGATACAATTTACACAATGCTTCTGATCTTTATTTACCATACAGACTCCAATATTTTTTCAGTGCTGCTTGTAAAATGCTTCTACATGTATTTATGAAATAAAAACTGAAGTTTCCAACAATTACTGTAAAATATTAAACAGACAGTAAATACACAGTTATTACATTGTAGTTATTTTTTCATTATATACTTCTATTTGAGAATACTTTTCTTATCAATCTTCTAAACATTTAAACAACCCAACTACTTAATATGAAACTCTAAAACCTTTATTACCTTATTTATGACAGGAATTATTGCAAGTTGTGCTTCAAAAGCAAGATAGAAGTTTGCCACTGTCTGAGCCTGAATACCCTAGAAAATAAGCAATAAAAAAGTTTAACATGGAATCTTCCTGAGTTTTGGTGGTTTGGTTGTTTTTTTTTTTTATGCATACTATACAGATTACTTCGCTAGTCTAGCCACTCCTCCATGTGGGGGATGGAAAATAAGTAAAGGTTATTGATTATACACATTGCTGAGAAAGAAAACCCCATTCCTAATTATCATTTCTTGTAATCTGAATATAAGTAAATGAACTAATAATGCTTTGTGTGATCACTTACATGGAATTATTTATAGATAGCACAGTATTATGCATACATTATGCACCAAGTACATATTTTTGTTATTTATTTTTGAATAGCAAAGATCATAACAGGTACCTCAAAAACCAGATGCTTTGTCCACAACAAACTATTCAGAAATGGACTAAGACAAAGAAAAAGGGATGTTTATCATGGTAATAAGACTGTAGTTGCTCCAGAGGGAAGGAACATACCTTCAACTTACCTTACAGTTATTTTCAAAACAGAAAACAGATTATAACGTTTGTACCTCACATTTCTTTCAAAAGGATGGAAAAAGAACAGCTCTCATTAGAAAAAAAGGAAGATTACCTTCCAGATTCAAGTACCAGGTAAGGGAAAACAAAGAGATAGAGATGCTAATGAATGAGAGTATAAAGCCTAATATCGCAATTGGACAGGAGAGGGCAGAAGGGGGAGTGAGGGGGAAGAGAAGGAAAAAAAAAAGAAGTTACTTGTTGTCTTCCCCTTTGTTTACAATAGATCAAGTGGAAAATTACTTATATGGGGATATTCATTATGGATATATGGGCCTAACTCTTTAGGCAATGTAAAGAAGAAGCAAAGAACATTTATTAAACAAAAAAACACCCCACCCCAAAAAAAGAAAAAAATATATAGAATGCAAAGAATGGAAGACCTAAACCTTTAAAGTTACTTCCAGAATTCAGGCTGGCAGAAGAAACATTAGCAATTATAATGAAAAAGTTGAGTGTGTAAGCATTCTGACTTAAAGGCAAATACTGAATACCAAACAATCACGTAATATTTAAACATAACATAAAAAATATATACACAATAAATATAAAAACATCAGCACATTTAGAAAACATATTTATTACCAAAGCTTACTTAAGAAGTCCGCTTGCCCATCAAGCTAGGAAGGAGCAAGTGTTCATAAGCATTGAAAGTTAGTTAGTTGTTGGGGTTTTGGGGTTTTTTTCATCTAACAAGGAAAAAAGTAGTATTCATTTGACCCTTGTACAATCCAATAATAAATATGCCATAGAGAAAATTATCAAAATACTTTGTGAGAATGTGTCCGTATTTAAAATCATGATCCCATAATCCTCATATTCATCTGTTAACTGATTCTTCAAAATGTTTCTAGCACTGTACAAATAAAAGTACAACTAAGATCTCTAATTTCACTTCGCTCCTAGTATAGACTTCATAAATTTATGAGCATCACCTTACAAACATTTTACTCCCTCACTCTCCTGCTTCTGAAAGATCAGTCAAGAACCCATTAATCCAGTGGATATAAAACTTCTCAAGTTTCCAGAATAAATTTATTCACATTTGGCTTATAGTGTCCTTTAGCTTTAATGTTGCCAGTATCAGTTTGTATTACAGATGATCAAAAACACAAAACAATGCAGATTAAAGAAATTGCTGAAATTCCAAGTAGAAAACAAGAATTAAGAACTCCACCTCATTTGCATCCACTACAAGTATGACACCTTGACAGGCAGACAGTGATCGTGATACTTCATAGCTGAAATCTACGTGGCCCTGTGGAGAAAATAAATGTTTACAATTTCAGGTATTTCTAGAGTCTTTTGCAAAGATTTCTATATTATGATGTTTCCATTTGTACATATGTTCACAATGCTTACAAAAAAAAAATAAATTGAATAAACACAAGAAGCTAGAAATCTCCTACTTTTAAATATTAAGACATTTAGCTTTGTGCAATTTAAACATTGTTTATACTTAACTTACTGGCGTGTCAATAAGATTTAAGAGGTAGTTTACTCCTTCATGATTGTAAAAGATTGATGCAGATTGTGCTTTAACTGTAATTCCTCTTTCACGTTCCACTTGCAGTTTATCCAGCACTTGTTTATTACGGTCAGTTTTAGCAATTGTTCCTAAGATAAAAAAAACCAGTTTTATTACCTCATTTAAAACATTAGCTCCCAAAATAAATAATTCTTGAAAATGCCATTAACCAAGAGAACATGGGACTTGCAGCTGTAAACGAAGCTCTTCCATCTGATTAAACTAAACTTAGATTTTAATTTAAAAATAAAATTATGCTTCAACTCAACATTTGTTAAATAAATTTTTACATATGAAGTTATATAAAATATTGAATAAGCAGGATACAAAACATCATGTAAGTCTAAATCAGATATTAAGAAGTAGCAATGATTCCATTCAGTGCTAAATAATTTTGATGTTTAAAGAAACTTCACCTCCTATTACTTGAGAGGAGCTCCATGGCCCACAGCTCCAACCAGTGCCAATCTCAAGTGCAAACGAAGCATTATCATAGAGCTTGACAGACCTGAATTCAAAACCCCATTCTATCACAGGCATCAGGTAAAATTGCCCACTGTGACACATAGGAGCTAATCATAAAGAATAACTTTGATCAGAAGCTTCTTTCCCAAGTTTTGTTTTGCTCATCCCTTAAATGAGAAAATCAAGACTCTTCCTAAAGAGTATATCGAAGTAGCTAATTTAAGCTCTGCCATGAAATTAGTCTCCTCTTGGGAGATACAGCAATTGCTTAACAGCTTACCTTAGAGAACTGTCTAAAGCAACCTCTGCCTCTCTCTTCTAAGGAAAGCCTAGTTTCAGAGTAACTTACAGTTACAAAGATCCCTTAGCACTTCTGTTTCTCACTTTCACTTTAAAAGGGGGATAGTTTTCCTTATGCTCAACAGTAACAGAGAAATAAAAACACTGAAGTCCAAGAAGCACTCTGATGAGGACAAAATAAATACCTCTGAAGATGAAAGTAACACAACTTCACCAATACTCAGAGTGAAGGAAAAAGCAAGTCCATATAGCAGCTGAGAATCCATGGAATTAAACTTAATTACTAGCAGTTATTCTACACACTAAATCTAAATCAACATAGGGCTGTACCTTTCTAAAAGTTACTACACAGCATCATATCAGCTTCAGTACCAGTGAGCTTCACCACCATGAAAGCCAGCTCTTCATGGTTTGCTCACAAGAGGACATATCATTACTTTCATCTAAGTACAGGCAACTGAAGTTCCTCCCTGTTTCAGTAACACTTTTGAAAACTACTCTGTCCAGAACTCCTAGGTCATGACAGTTCCATTCTGTCCACCCCAAACACTGGCAGTAAACATCATAAACTTGCTGTGTACCAGTCTAATGGACAATTGGTCAGGAATTACAGGAGTAGTATCTTGAACAAGGAGGTACACTCCTTTTCAGTCTCCTTCTGAAATACATACTTCCTTGAGTGAATTACACACCTCCTTACCCCTACTGGCAGGCAGATCTCAACCAGAAAGAAAGTATATCATATTCACATCTGTAACACCACACAACTGGCAGCCTAAAAGCACAAGCAATCTGGCACTAGAAGACCAAAGATATTAGAAATTTTAGTAATAGTCAAAGCTACAGAAACTTACACGCCATCTTACACGTCAAGAAAAGGTATCATAAAATGAGAACACTTACCTGTAATTTCCAACAATCTGTCTGCTAGCGTGCTTTTGCCATGATCTACGTGAGCTATAATACTGAAGTTTCTAATGCTTTCAACAGGATACATCAACATATCTAATTTTTCCTGAAAAACATAAATTCATTTTCGTAAGCCATGGTTACAGTCTCTATGTACAATATGACTTGGCCTTTAAAAAAAGAATTAACTCTCTTCTCTAGAAGAGGCATAGGTTGAACAGAGATACAAAAACTTAAATTGTCATCAGTGTTTAAAATGCTAGCATTTCATTTTAGTCATACATACATATATATTTATTATTACTCTGAACAATCAGTATGTATGCTGGAAAGCGTCGTGAAAGGTAGTACATTCCTATGCATATAGGGAGTTGGAAAACTTAAAATGGTTTCAAGTTTGTTAAAATACTAAACTTAGGGATTAAGAAAAACTGCATTCAAGGGACCACTAAGGACATCATTCTTCACAAGCATGATAAGAATAGAGTGACGTTACCTAGCAGCTCAGGTAGCAGTGAACTCGTCATAAGGAGCAAGCAGACTTTGTGGAAAAGGAAGCTACAGATTAACAGTTATCTTGGCTAAATTAAAAAAAAAAAAATAATGCAGTGTCGTGGTTTAACCCCAGCCAGCAACTAAGCACCACACAGCCGCTCACTCACTCCCCCCGCAATCCAGTGGGATGGGGGAGAAAATCGAGAAAAGAAGTAAAACTCGTGGGTTGAGATAAGAACGGTTTAATAGAACAGAAAAGAAGAAACTAATAATGATAAAGATAACACTAATAAAATGACAACAGTAGTAATAAAAAGATTGGAATGTACAAATGATGCGCAGGGCAATTGCTCACCACCTGCCGACCGACACCCAGCCAGTCCCCGAGCAGCGATTCCCTGCCCCCCTACTTCCCAGTTCCTAAACTAGATGGGACGTCCCATGGTATGGAATACACTGTTGGCCAGTTTGGGTCAGGTGCCCTGGCTGGGCATGAGAAGCTGAAAAATCCTTGACTATAGTCTAAACACTACTGAAACTGAAAACATCAGTGTTATCAACATTCTTCACATACTGAACTCAAAACATAGCACTGTACCAGCTACTAGGAAGACAGTTAACTCTATCCCAGCTGAAACCAGGGCATGCAGAAAACCAGCCTGACTTCCTTGGTTTGCACACATAAAGGTCCAACACTAAAAAACTTTTCTTTGTGTTATTCCTGCTCCTTCCAATTAATACCACACTCCTTTGCTTTTCAAAACTTCCAGCATCAAGACCCAGGAGGCCCCTCGTAGCAGTCAGTTAACACTTTACTGAAAAACTCTGGTCGCCCATTTTAGATATACACAAAGCTCCTCTCTCTCACACAGGCTACGCATGGCAGCTCCGGGCCAGGCAGAGAAGAAAGCAAGCCCGGAGCTCTTTGCTAGCCTCAAGACACAGCATTAAGCAGCATTATCTGGCGTGTCCCTTGCAAGCAACATGCCTCGGCTCGCAACGGCAAGTCCTCCTACTGCCCAGGGGACGCAAACGCCCCCGCAGCGGGAAACGGCTCCTCCAGGACGACATCGCCTGTCGGGAAAGGCCACCTTCTACACGCAGGACCGTCGCCTTGCCTTTGGGGACCCGCTGCAGGCCAGCTTCGGGCAGCCCAAACGACTCCCCGCACCCCCACCCCTCCCGGGCAGCCGCCCCGCGGTCTCACCTTGCCGCGGGAGCTGTACAGCCGCTCGCACGCCACGGGCCCCGCCGGCAGCCGGGGCGGAAGGCAGAGCGGGGCGGCAGCGGGGCAGGGGCTGCGCAGCCGGGCCCACCACGCCGCCGTCCTGCCGGCGAGGGCCATGGCGCTCGGGGCTGGGCTCACGGGCTCACAGCGCCGAGGGGCGCCCGGCAGCCCCCGCCTCCATCGCAGCCCGCCGACGCTCCGCTCCCCTCGGCCCGGCCCCTGCCCGTGCCCTCGCCCTTCCGGCGTCGCCTAGCAACGCGCCCCACGCGCGGGAGGAGGGCGAGCTCCACGGCACGAGGCGAACACTAAACCGTCGCCACGCCGAACGCGGCGCCTCACGCGCCGGAAGCGCTTCCCGGCGGCGGCGGAAGTGGTCAGAGCTCCGCCTGCTCTCTCCCGTGAGGGCGGTCCCGATGCCGCCGTGCTCCGCTCTCCCGGGCCGCCTCTCTCCCGCCGGTGGGCGCGGTGTGCCTCGGGAGCCGATTTCCAGCCTCGCCGCAGGAGGCTGCGGGCGTTCGGGGCCTGCGGCCTGCCGGGCCGCGCCTTCGCCTGCTGGTGTGCGGCTGCTGTCCGCACCTTCGGTGTCGGCTCCCCGCCGGGGCGGCGGGCCCGGCTGAGGACCCGGCCGGGAGGGGTTCTCGTCGGGGTCCGAGCTGTGCCCGCAGGGCCTCCTCCGTCGGCCTCGTAGTGCGGCTTGAGCAGGGCAGAAGTCTCAGAGGAGAGCCTCCGCAGGGCTTCCCCCTTGGCTGTTTGTCCAAAACCCAAAACCAGTGCAGCAGTTTGGTCCCGTTGCTGTTACGTGATGGCCTAGCAACAACGGTGTCTGGGACATCTTGCCTGTGTATTTTTTTCTAGGCACCATTAATTATTTATAGAGAGCACAAACTATTTTTACAAGTTTTACAAGGTTTTGGAACTTTGTGCTAAGAAAGTGCTCACAAGAACAGCTTCATTTGTGATTGCAAAATCTCAGTGCTGCTGCAAGGCACAGAATGCTGTTGTCTTGAAATATTTGTTTACAGGCATTATAGAAGGAACTGTTGCCTTACGTGTCTGCTGCTTTGCCAGCACATGGCTGTTCTGGCCTTCGCTGTTGTGCTTTGTAAAGTTCTAGAAGCAGAGGAATGTCGTCATGTTCTCAGCTATGTTTTCCGTGTGTTGCTCTTTATCAAAGTCTTCGTGGCTTGGCATTGTCTGTTCCAGGTATTTTTCTAGCTTGTATTTTTCCGAGTTTAGCTTTATTACTGCCTGCATGTTCCTCTGTTTTTTCCTTACTTCACAATTTTGCATTAAGGTTTCACAGACCTGGGAGAACACGCAGGTGTAGGGCCACTGCTCAGTTTATATGTATTGGCTTTATATTTCTCAATTGCTCAATCTAATCAGGATTTCAGCTGTAGCTACATAAAATATTTCAGAAATGCCAGCAGACCACTTAGCTAAGAAAACATATTTTTATCAGATTCACAATCTAGAGATGTGCTAAATAAAGCAAGAGGGAGTATATTTTGAGGGTGAAACCATTTAATGGAGATTTAATTTCAGGATATCAATATAGAATTCATACTCCTTTTTAAGTTACAATGATTTGGTTTCAAAAGGCTGCATAAAAGTATCTGATATGTAGTGCAGAGGGTGCAAGAGTTCTGCATATACTGGCTTGGGAGCGTGCAGTAGTGAATTTGCTAGCATAGTCCACTGTGCTGTGCTGATCACATTGAATTTGGGTAGTAATGGGCAAAGAGAGTCCTTCAGCAAATTCATGAAAATATAGGGAAAGAGAAGTATGTTCTTGAGTGGAGAATGAGTGTGACAGGAGCCATGAATCCCAAGTCATGATCCAGAGCATACATAATAATATAGCGGCCATATTTGGAGGAAAACATCATTCCTGCTACACACAGATTAAGTTTGATGCATTATAGGTATTGGCTTACCCATGTGCAATAACAGATAATGTAAATAAATACATAACAATCCTATAATTCCTAAATGGATATTGTCTTCACTGTCCCAAGAGACAAAAATACCAACCAACAAATCCAAGAGGGTGCTCTATTAGCAGGAATTAAACTAATATGCTTCACAGACTATCTTCAAATATCACCACCACTGAGCAAGGTATATAGATTCCACATCTGAGCAATTCCAAAAAAGCAACTGCAGAGGTAGCTAAATCACACATTCGCACTAGCAACACATGTTGTTCGTTATGTGTAACGACATGCACAAAACCGCATAGTCACAAAAATACCTGCGAAAGCAGAAGTTACTACAAAACAAATAGCGTGCCTGAAGGTTGCACTTGCACTCCATATCTACTCCTTAGAGCGCCAAGGCTTGTATTTGCACCGCTTGCACACCAAGCTGGCCAAATACAGCCAGGACTCGAGGAGGTGTGCTGGGGTAGTTACTGAATGAGCTTAGGAGCTGCCTCTTCGTGCTGGCACTTGTCCTGTTGGCATGGAGTGAACACCTGTGGAGTGAGTGCTGGTCTGTGCGGGGAGACATCAGTCCTTAATGTTAAACTATTGGCAGGTCCACATGTTTCAGAGTTCTGAAATAAATGAAGAAAAGCAGGAATGGAACTGCATTTCAAGTATGACTCCTAGTCATGTGAATACAATACATTAACTATAAGTTCAGACTGGTGAAAGCAAGCCAGGATAGACAGAGCACAGTAAAAATGACAGACAGTCTCATCTGTCTTTACCTTCACTTTTCAGCTTGGATAAATACATGAAGCAAATATTAAGATTTTTGATCAATTTGCTTTGAGCTGCGTATGCAATGGAAAACACATACTAGAACAATTATGGAAAGTTGTCCAGTATAGCAGAATAATAAATGTTACAGTATTTTCGGGACAGCAGATCAGTAGCATAAACATGGATTTTTCAAGTGATCCATTTATGTGTCAAAACGTGATGGATGTATTACACAATTATAATTTCCTGTGTTTCAAAAGCCATTAGTTATAATGAGGATAAATTAAATGTACATATCATTAGCTATATTGGGTAACATTGAAGCCAATCACATAAAATGGTAAATTGAAGTATTTACAGATTCATGACTGAAAATATGAAAACAAAATATAAGCATGAATTTCCTGATTCCCAAGTATCTTATTATAGCTACACATGAATGCAGCATTGAATGTCCTATCAATAATTATTTCAGTTGAAGACAATGTAAGTCTGTCATAATTGCAAATCAGTCAGTGTTATGTGTTACTTCTTGGTAGTTGTGTTCAATAGAAACAAGCACGTTCCCTAACCGACATGGTGTCATAGCCTGAGTTTTAACAGGAGTTGTATGTTTTCCCACAAAATGACAAAATTGCGGAAGTGAGCATTTACACAGTCAGTGATCTGAGTCATCTCCTAAACTTCCGTTAAGTGTGACAGTTGCACAGAATGGAATAGCATACCATAATGCAGTGAATAATATAAAAGGTAGAGAAGCATTTCCCCGATAGTAAGATATGAGCTGATAAAATGCAGCTAAGATTTCTTAGCGTAATATATGTATATGCATGCACAAGGCCAAGCAGATCGGTAATCAATGGTATCTATGAAACACAGCAAGGAGTGTACCGCTTGCTATTCAATCAGCAGTGCACCTCATTTAGAAGCAATCTTTGGTAGCACTGTGAGACTGTCAAAATATAGAAATAAAACCAGGACAAGATTCCATGGTGCTATTAAAAAAAAAAAAAGGCGGGGAGGGGTGGTATTTCTTTATCTCATTTGCGAGGATTTCTGTAACAGAAGCATGGGTAAATGAAATCACAGATCTGTATTCTGCGCAAGTAGTTACTGTGCAAATGGACTAGCCGTGACAAAAACCTTTCCTGTCACTGGGAGGCGCTGCTGCCAGCAGATGCTGAAAGCGAGTGACTTCCTTAAAGGTAACATTAGCAGAAATTTCCCCTTTCTGTAAAATGTATTCTCCTAAGCCAAATTCACAGGGTTTACATTGCACAGTAATGAACTGAATTAAAAGGACAAAATTTACCCTGAAAAAAAAAACAACAACCAACAACCCAAAACCAAGCAAACAAAACCAAGGTTAATGAATTTCAGCCTTGGAATTCCTAAACTAAACACATTATAGAACAGGTCACTAACACTCATCTTCTCAATACATGTCTGGGTGGCAGAGTGAGGTGCCTGAACAGACACCTGAATTAACTAACCTGGTCTGCCAGTTTCTAGCCAGAAGATGAGTCACACAATTTGCCTCAGGTTATCTATTTGAGTTTGACAGGCCCTTATTGTTCTTGGGAGGACGAAAACTGGCAAATCCTTTTCCTTTTTTGCTTTTTTCCCCCTTTTTCCCTTTTTTTCTTTTTTTCCCTTTTTTCCCTTTTTTCCCTTTTCACTTTTTTCCTTTTTTTCCATTTTTCTTTTTTTCCTTTTGCAATCAAAAAATGCCAAGTGCAATGCCCACATTGTACTTGCCATCGTATCTGCTATAGACCTTTCTTAACCAAAGTTATGATGAAGGGAGAACAGTGCAAAGGGACAGCAGTGACTGGCATTAGTATTTTGCTTCAGGCTGACCGAGAGTTTCTGTTTTGGAGCCTTTCTTTGACATTGACTCGCCACGTTTCTGCAATATGTCAAGTTCTCCAGTTATGCTTGAAAATGCAGCTTAAACTTTTATTTCTTGGCACTTTGTGGTGATGATGGGCAAACACTTCTGTCATAGCCAAGCTGACAAAATAGAAGACACGTGTATTTCTTGCCTTAAAAGTAAAGCAGAAAAGGTAGTTAGAAACTTGCTGTCTAATCTTCAAAAGTCACAGCACAAACTGAGTGAAACAGCAGTGATTTATTCTGTGAAAAAAAACCACCTCAGATTATTATAGTCTGTCTGATAAGAAGAAAAAACAGAATGTTTCCTTTTTTTCTATAAGTGATGCAAAATTACACGCTTCTCGGCCATAGCCTACAGAGGAAAAAGAGTATACACTGAAATACGTAACTTAACAGAATAATTGCTATTTTACTTTGCATTGGAAACCTTTGTCATTTAAGATATTCTTCTTCTATATTCTACTTGCTAGAAAGACAGTATTTTAGAATGATATTCTGTTTACTTCCCTGGTT